CGTGTTCATCATGTATGTGGTCAGTCATACATATTGGGAATCTACTATATCTAGTTTTTTAGTTTTTTCCCATCCATCTGCCAGTCTCTCTTTTTCTTGATAAAGAAGGCCAAGAAACCACGAAAAACAAAGGGGAGGATAAAGGAGCCAAGTCCAAAAATGGCTCTCCCCCTTTTTAGCTGTGTGATGCTCAGTCTAATGAGTACAATCTACCAGCCTCCAGGGCATGGGGAGGGTTTACGAGATACCGTATATAAAAACACCTCTGCCATAAGAGCCACTCCGTAAATAAATATATTCATTGATTCCTTCCTTCATTTAGAGGGTGAAGGACAATTGAATCTGAGATCAGCCAAGAAAGTATGACTTCTTTGTTGGGTTCGCACTCTTAAGAACACAGGATGCTTCTTTTTTTTTTTTAAAGATTTTATTTATTTATTCATGAAAGACAGAGAGAGAGAGAGAGAGAGAGAGAGGCAGGCAGAGGGAGAAGCAGGCTCCCAAGGAGCAGGGAGCCCGACACGGGACTCGATCCCAGGACCCCGGGATCATGACCTGAGCCGAAGGCAGACGCTTAACCATCTGAGCCACCCAGGCACCCCCACAGGATGCTTTTGATAGGGAAAATGTCCCACCCAATAATAGGAGCACTTTGCCCTTAGAATGGCTTATCCTTACCAGAGCTGATGGAATCCCCCTTCTTAAGCATGTATGTAGGTGTGGCAAGAGATACCTGCAAAATTAAGTGAGATTCAACAAGTTCCCTCCCCTCCTCTGGGCCTCCTGGATCTCCGGGAGAACGTAGGAATAGCATCATTTACCTGGCACCCCCAAGGCATCGGCTGTTGAGGGAAAACAGCTGGATGACTCTAAGGCTCTCAAAATGTGCTCCCTGGACCACCAGCAGGGGCATCACACGAGAAGAGGGTACAAATGTGAATCATCGGGCCCCACCCCAGGGCTGTGGAATCAGAAAGGTGTTTTAAGAAGCCGTCCATGTGGTTCTGATGCAAGCTAAAATTTGAGAACCACCGCTCTAAATGAAGCACTTTGCACTTTTTTTTTTTTTTAATTAGCACACTTTTCTCTCCAACAGGGAGCCACTTGACTCCCTCCTTCCCATCTCTGTCCAGGCAGATATGCTGTCAAATGTGCAGTTCCTTCTGACAAACCCAGTCTTTCCAACTGGGCGAGACCTTGCTTTGTAGATTTTATTTGCACACTGACTAAAGCTCTTAACAATCCCTCTGACACAGACTGAAGCTCTTGCCAACCCCGCTGTGGGGAGTGACACCATAAATAAAGGCCTTCAGCTGCCTCATTTTCCTGAGCCAGTTGATTGTGTGCAAAATGCTTTTGTTTGGGGGAAGCGTACCTCGTACAGCTCAACCCAGGGTGCAGTATCACAGGGCACCTCTACCTGAGTAATGGGTAAATGGAACCAAGTTTCTAGCACATTCCATAGTCCTTTTGGAGAATGATACTCAGTATACACAGGAGGAATAAGTGATCACCATAGCAGGTATTGCTTGGTCATGGTCATCATTGACAAAATTCTATTGGATATGATTATTTGCTTGTGAAAATTAACGAGAGAAGCATGGTTGGATGAAAATGAGCGATCTGCAGGGTTTTCAGGCGTGGTGCCAAATTTAATTTCCATAGTGCCAGAAAGTACACTAAATACTTTCCCCTTAGCGTTGGTTTGCTCAGTGTTTGTTTTGGGCTACACAGTAGTTTTATTTTGGAGGATGCCAAAGGAAACAACATGCAGCAATTCTGTCAAGCCAGACCCAGATTGGGAACTCGAGAGGGTAGCTTCTCCATCCTTCCCACCTCTTTGCTTAAGGAAGAGCTTGGAGTTCCCAAGCTCTTGAACACCAGGAGGAGACACAGAAGCCAAGTGGTGGAAGGACCAAGGGAAGTGGTGAAGGACCAACTCATTCCGTGTCCTCCGAGCAAGCTGGATCACCTACCATGTGACATGGGGACGATTTGGGAGGTTGTTAGTTAATATTAGCTGATTTGGTTTCAGAATGGTGTATTTCACTAGGTAAATTTTTAAGTCATTCACCAAACTGTTGACTGCCTTCTGAGAGGAATTATTTTTAGTACATTCTGTATTCAAGGAATTATTGGATGCTGGTAGAAAGGACGTATTTTCTGCGGCTGTGATCAGTAGGCTTGAATTATAAAAGGCAACACAAGATGTCCAGCCAGGAAAGATAGAGCTATGTTCTTAAAGAGTAGTCAGAAGAATTCCAAGTCTTTAAGATGGAACTCAGCTTGCCAGGGTACTTATTAAGCTCCTGGTCGCTGGAGGTCTCCAGTCATGGCCATCTCTACTTTGCCGAGCCCTGACGTCTCAAAACAGGATGGAACTTCTCTGATCCAGTCTGCAGGTGTGGACCTTGCCCAAGATGGGGTAGGCAGGGTCCTTCTCTGGCGACTTGGGAACGGAGCCAAGTGAGTCAGTCTAGAATGGCCATGAAAGGAGGTTGTGTAAGTTCAGGAGCTGTGGGAAACCTTAAACTTTGAGAAGCTAAGGGACAGATCTGCTGAGGAAGAAGACTAGGGCAGAGATAAGAGGACCCTGGAACTAGAGAGATGAGAATCCCTTACCAGTCACCTTCCAGTAGCTGGTGCCGTTTCCTTCTGAGACCCTACGATTCTGTTGGGTTTCTCGAGAGAACACCACATCTTTGTGAGAATCTGCTTTTTTTTCCCCTCTGAAATCAAACTAGCTTAAATAACATTCCCCCCTCCTGCCCCCACCGCCTTCTTTCTTAGACTAAGGTCGTTGGGGGCCTCCAGGTTTGGTCTCACTTTGCAAGCTGATAGTGTGGCTCTGCCTCTCAAAATGGAAGAGAGGCCAGGAAGAATCTGGATTGTTCCCTTGGGAGCCTGCGGGCCGGGTAATAGACTCACCGCTACGTATTCGTGCTACTGATTGTTACTGAGGGCCAAGTGCTTCGTCTTCACTCTCATTTGATTGCCACAGTCCTGTGGTGAGGATTCTGAGAGGTTCTGGAGCTCACTCAGGAACACAGAGATGGGAAGTGACAGAGCCGCGAATGGGGGTTCAGGAACAGCTGGTCCAAGCTGCAGAAGAGGCAGGGAAGATTCCAGCCAGGCTCAGCCTTGGCCAGTGTCAGCGAAGGCTGGGCTCAGGGTGCCAAGTCACAGGGGCTCTCAGGGAAGCCCATGCCCTGGGTGGCAAAGAGGGGTGTGTGAGTCCTGAGGGCAATTCAGGAGACAGCCATTGCACTCAAATTGGACTCCCCTGTCAAGTGTCTCCAGTGATTTCCTTTCCTATTAGCATCTGTCCCTAAGGTTCTGTCACTAGCGTGGGAATGACAAAGGGGGATGCTGCAGCAAGGCTTTGCTAGAAGCAGTCTGTCAACTTGGGGGTGAGGCCCATTCCCCAAGACACAGGCCTCTGCTTTCCGCCTGCACTTACCTGCTACAGCGTATGATACACGGATTCCTCTGAGCATAAAGCGGGGTGCCGGTCTCTGATGGGCCCATGGCCAGCTCCTCATCCCAAACTAACTCATGATCTGGCTTTCATTTCTTCTCAGAGAAAGGGCTGGTAACCTGTGGGCTGCTTTCAAAACCCAGAACCCTTCCTTCGCATCCCAAGACGTGGCTCCCTGCCAGGTGCCTCTAGGGAGGGGTTGCAGGGAAACCCCTGTCTTGAGAAAGCCAGCTAGTCTGAGCAGTCTGTTTATGGTTGCTTTTGGGCTCTGCTTAAGACAGTAATACGCACACGATGGTGAATGGTTACAATCATGTGTTACCAAAATAAAGGTGGCTTTCTCATTTTTTTTTTAAGGCCTTGTCATTGCAAAGCCTTTCCTTCCCCCCACCTTTTAAAAAAGTTATGATTTCGTTTCTGGAGATCAAAGTAAACAGAGCTTTTGTAGCTCTTTGCCCCAGCCTTCCCAAAACATGTATTCATGTCCAGGGCTCCCTAAACTCAAGGGAATTAGACCAAGTTTGTGGAGTGGAACAAATATAATGAATTTAGAGCCTCAAGTCTTCTGTCTTCTGTGTCTTGTTGAATGAATGCCTTGTTTCGCAAGAGCTGGTCATGATGGTAAGAGATAGTTGAAAAGAATTTTCCATGATGTCATCTGCGCTTGTGGGATTTTTTTTCCCCCCTCTCCTGTATAATAGCATACCTTCTGTTTTGGCCAGTTTTTCCTGACCCTAGTTTTGCATACAGCTGGATAGTGGAATGTCTGTTTTCGTTTCTCAGGCAAAATTAGATGCCTTCCCAAGTCTTTGTTAGAGTTGAGTGAGCCCCAGAAAGTGCAAGAATATGTCCTAACAGCCATAAACAGGAGCATTCTGGGATGTGCAAAACTACTCCTGTCAATGACGATTTTTTTAATTACATACTCAGTATCCTAGATGTAGTGACTCTCTTTTCGGACAAATGGGAACTGCTACCTGCCCTTATAAAGCGCTCCAAACCTAGAGGGCTTTTAATGTAGGTGGAGGCTGAGGGACCCAGCAGCTCAGCGAGTGCCAGAGCCTGGCCCTGACTCCAGGGTGAGGCAGGCACTGACACATCCCTCTGACTAGGGAGGCACGGTGCATGCCGGAGACTCACAGAGAAAATGGTAAAGTTGCTCTGTCTCTCTGTCTCTGTCTCTGTCTCTCTCTCTCTCTCTCTCTCTCTCTCTCTCTCTCTCTCTCGGAGGGGGAGCCTGCAGACAAAGCTCTACCCTCTGGGTTCCCCCGCCTATTTGCTGAATTCTCTTTTTCTGGGAAAGTTTGCTGGCTTTATTTTTCCCTTTCAAGAGAGGGAAAGCCCCAAGATTCGGGTGACTCGCCCCACTCTTTCTTCAAGGATGAATTTGTCTGCTTGCAGTGAGAACCGCAGATGCTGTTGAGTTGCAAAGGGTGGAAAGGACAGGAAGTCAAATGTGTGCTGGGATCCTCTTCCCGGGGAGTGGGAATGGCCAAGTGACCCATGTGCTTTCATCCTGCAGGTTCACCAGTACTACAGCTGTCTCCCAGAAGAGAAGGTTCCTTACGTCAACAGTCCTGGAGAGAAACTTCGAATCAAGCAGCTACTACACCAGCTGCCGCCACATGACAATGAGGTAAGGGGCTCGCGGGGGCCTTATGAAGACTTGTCTTAGAAGCTTCTGTGAATTGTTACCCTCTTCATAATCAGAATGCTGTGATCGGTGAGGTCTCCAAAGAAAAACTCTGGCCCTTCATTTTAGGATTTAACTTCCTTAATTAGAGCCAAAAGAAACAGCCCGACACTTTCTGGAGTGTTACCGAGAAGCAGATCTCATTATGGACCGGATTCACCTCTGTGCCTGGCGCTACTAGCCGTTTTGGGGTGTCCAGGGAGCCCTAAAAGTTAAAAGCTCAAGCCCAGGTTTTCCTAGTTGAAGAAGAATATGCTGGTTGCCTGAGTCCCTTAGCTGATTGCCATTCCCCGGGCCAGTTCAAGGTCAAGCCCTGCAAAAAATGTGATTCTCTGGCATTTTCATGTTAAAGAAGCGTGCAAGTTTTCCACATTATGCTGCAATAGAAGTCACATATCCAGATTTGCAGCTCTGAACGTCTGTGTTTTTGTCCTTGAAAGGCCAACTTGGCAGGGTCCCCATTTGAACATGTGTTAGGATGGCTTGCAGGCTATCCTTCTTTTCCTGAACCTCAATAGAAGACACAGTAATTAGGCATTTCTTAACTTTGAAGTCAAATTGCTCATAAAGGGCAATCCATGAATACATTTTTAAAAGATCACCCTGCTTGAAGGGCTTAGGTTTGTAAACTAGAAATTAATTTTTAAGTATCTGGTTTTTTAAAAATAGCTATCCTCTAGAATTGAATTGTCCACCTAACTGATTGCATTTTAAACGATTTTAAATTGAAGAGAGAAATAAGCCCTCTAAAAAGCTGGACCCTAGCTCTCTACCGACTGCTCTCACCCACAAACCAGATCTCTGGGGAAATTGAGTAGGTGCTATTTTACTCTTTATCTTCCCATATTCAGATCAAAAGGGGTAATTCAACAGCCTCAAAAATAAATATGCGTAAGTGAAGCAAAAGCTTAAAAACTGAAGCAAGTCCCTAGAAAGAGAGCCATGATTTCCTGTCACCCATTTCCGACTTCATAAAACAAATACTAACAATGTTTTCTCCTTTAAACGCGAGAACAAGCACTGTAACCCCATGCCCAGTTAACTAATTTGGACGTGAAAATGCGGGTTTTTACAAGCAGGAGGGGAGTGCCTTTCTTTAAAAGCACATCCATAAAATGTCAGTGGTGTAACCATACATTCTGGGCCAGTCAGGTCACAGCGGTGGTGCTTACGGGGACATCCACAGGACGGCTTTCTTTTAACACTTTTTTACTTGATAGAGCAAGGTGATCTGTTCTCTGCTTTTAATGATTTATTCTGTTTACAGTTAACTGCAGTTTTTTGAAAAGAGACCATTCAAATTCCTTCTTCCTGTTGGAGAGAATTCCTTCCAAGTGACCCAGTGGGCAGATTTCACCCACTTGAACATGGTCCTTTAGAGGACAAAGAGTGGTTCTAAAGTCAGTAACTGATCTTTCCCTCTTTTGCTCAGATGAAGCAGCTGGTTTTCCAGTTAGGATGCAACAGTTCTGCTCCAAAGATTTCCCACTAAGTGTCATATAACAAACCATCTGAGCATTTCGCCTAACCTTTCCGCCGTTACTGCAAAGAAAGACAGGACATGGAATGAGGTCCATGTTTCCCAAAGCCTGACAGACACAGGACTTTTTGGGTGGTGCAGAGGCGTGGCAGTAAATGAAAGTGAGCCACATAATAAGAGAATCACTCCCTTTTAAATTGTGCTTCATTCCTCCGGATGGAGTGGTTGAATCAGCCCCAGGGGGCGGGGGGTGGGATTTCAGTTTGGGCTAGCAGTTTTCTCACACCTCTCCAACTCATACCAGTCTCCACTTTTTAAGTAACCGTGTTAAGAATCTCCGTTTCAGGGACACCTGGGTGGCTCAGTTGGTTAAGCGACTGCCTTCGGCTCGGGTCATGATCCTGGAGTCCCTGGATCGAGTCCCGCATCGGGCTCCCTGCTCGGCAGGGAGTCTGCTTCTCCCTCTGACCCTCCCCCTTCTCATGTGCTCTCTCTCTCATTCTATCTCTCAAATAAATAAATAAAATCTTAAAAAAAAAAAAAAAAGAATCTCCATTTCAGGATCTCCCCTGAGCAGAAGTAGCTAGAATCTAACAACCTGATTTCATTCTCACATTGTTTTGTTTTACGGTCACCTTCTGGTTTTTGTAGGTGATACTGACTTTTCATTTATAATCATAATATACTTTCTTTTTAAATAAATATTCAAGTTTTAAAAAGTGATACCATTTTAAAAACAGTATTAATAATAGTTGGAGACTATGGCAGAATTCCCGCAGTATGTGTTAATAGGAAAGGCCAGGAAATGCTGGATTTGAGTGTCCATAGTGTCTGTCCCTTAAGGCCATGAGTTTCTGTGTTTATCAAGAAGGCAAATATCTTAATGCAAGTGGATGGATTAGCCAAAGCCCAGTGGGCCACCCTTTCCTTCCTGCACACAGATAAACATGCAGGGACTTCCGTGAAGCAGGGCACATACCTCTGGACCAACTCCTTCACCTCAAGCCTTTGGCTCCCCGTTTTCCCAAAACGTGGCGGGAGAACAGAAGCTGGGAGCCCTCTGACCACTGTTCTGGCTCGCTGGCCTGGAGCCATCCTTTGGTGTCAAGGATCACTCACATGGACAGAAAGAGGTGAACGTATCAGGACCCCACAATCCATTTGAAGATCCACATCATTTTTAAAGTAGGAAAAAGTCCCAGATCTTGACTAGTGCCAGAGCTCCCCGACATGATGTGGATCTTCATGGGGCAGTGGAGCAGATAGTAAGGCTGGGGGACTGTTACAGAACCTTGAGCCTGCTCATGACTTGGGCTCTGCTCATGACTTCGGCGCCTTTAGAGAGCTCTTTTATCTGAGGTAGAGAAACGTCCACCAGCCCCAAGCCCGCTGGTGGGCCAGCGCAGGCCAGCGCTGTAAAGCTGAGTGGGAGCACATTTAACGAGACTCTGGGACATGGGCTTCAGAAATCCCACGGAGCGAGGGCAACGGCCTCCATGACATTCTCTGTGTCTGTCCAGGTTCGATATTGCAACTCCCTGGATGAGGAGGAGAAGAGGGAGCTGAAGCTCTTCAGCAACCAGAGGAAACGTGAAAACTTGGGTCGAGGGAATGTCAGGCCCTTCCCAGTCACGATGACAGGAGCTATTTGTGAACAGGTGAGCATGGATTCCAGGGAGCGGGGAGGAATTGTGCTGGTATCCTGTCACGCATTCATTCCTGCAACAGCCGTTTCATAGAGTGCCTACCATGCGCTAGGCACAGTTCTCGCTCTTGGCGATACAGCGGTGAACAAAAGATGTGAAAGCTTTTGATTTTACCCTTGTAAGGAGGTCCATTCTAGGGGAAAAAGTCAAACAATAAAATAAAGAAGAAAAAATACAGCAGGTGTGGGGAGCTTGCAATTTTCAGGAAAGTAGCCGGGCAAGGCACCACTTAGATAGTGGCCTCTGGGGATGACTGGGTGGCTCAGTCGGTTAAGCGTCTGCCTTCAGCTCAGGTCATGATCTCAGGGTCCTGGGATCGAGCCCTGTGTCGGGAGGGTGGAGGGGGTGGAGTTGGGGGTGTGGTCCCTGCTCAGCAGGGAGTCTGCTTCTCCCTCTCCCTCTGCCCCTCCCCAACTCATGCTCTCTCTCACTTGCTGTCTCTCTCAAACAAATAAATGAAAATCTTTAAAAAAGAAGAAGGTGGCCTCTGAGCAAAGTCTTGCAGGAGCTGAGGGAGTGTGTCCTGCAGATGGCAGAGGGTGGAGGGAACAGGCAGCTCAAAGGCTGGAGACAGAAGCATTTCTGTTGTGTTCAAGGAACAGCATGTTGGCCATTGTCGCACGGCAGAGGGAGTGAAGGGAGAGAGGTAGCAGGTGAAGTCCAGGTTCATAGAGGGCCAGTTGTGTAAGCCATTGGAAGGAGATGGGGAGCCATTTGAAGGACTTAAGCACAGGAATGACATGATGGATTTATGTTTTAAAATGAGTCCTTTAGAAAATGGAATTTGCCTGGACCATGGGATCATCCCAGGACCATTTAAAGGGGTGGTAAAGGGTCTTCTCCTTGGGTTTGAGGGTTCTTTAGTGAAATGCATGTGCCCCCCCAACCCTGCATTCTCCCCAGGGCCTCACTGAGTTGGGTCTGGGGGTTGTTTTTCCTCCTACTCTCCTGCAGAGTGCTCAGGGCACAGTGGCAGAGGGTTTTAAAGAAAGAAAGGTGGAAATGCAGGCTGCCTGGGTTCTCCCTGCCCCTCCTCTTAAGCCACAGAGCCTTCTGGTGCTGACCATCATTTTTGGCACTGCTCTTGGCTGTGCTGCTCTTTGAAAAGCCTCCTCCAGTTCCTTAAGCTCTTGAGGAAACCATTCAGGTGCTGAAGATACATGAACTGGCTCAGTGAGGAGAAATCGAGATACTACCTGAGGGGAGTGGGTGCCATTTGGTGGCCCTTTTTTGAGATTTCAAAGGCATGGGGTGAGAAGGTTCAGGTGGGTGGAATGGAGATGCTACTTCATAGGGGAACCACAGGACCAGAGATTGGGCAGTGGAATCTTCACCCTTGATACTCACTCTTGAGATGCAGGTGGTCAGTGGTTAAGATGTGAGATTCAGGAAAAGAAAAAAGGAGGGGGGCACCTGGGTGTCACAGTTGGTTGGGCAACTGATTCTTGATTTCAGCCCAGGTCAGGATCTCGGGGTCTTGGGTCTAAGCCCTGCATCAGGCTCTACACTCAGTGGGATTCTGCTTGAGGATTGTCTCTCCCTCTGCCTCTGTCCCTCATCCGCCCACACTCTCTCTCTCTCTCAAAATAAATAAATAAATCCTTTAAAAAAAACGGCATCTGGGTGGCTCAGTCGGTTAAGTGTCCACTTCTTGGTTTCAGCTCAGACGTGATATCAGGGTAGGGAGATCGAGCCCTGCATTGGGCTCCCTGCTCAGTGCGGAACCTGCTTGAGTTTCTCTCTCCCTTTGCATCTGTCCCTACTCCACCACCCCCCTCTCTCTCTAAAATAAATAAATAAATACTTTAAAAAATGCTAACAACAGTTTAAAAAATAAAAAGAAAAGATGTGAGATTTGGTGTCCTCGCGTCAGGAATTCTGTCCCCCTGAGATCCGTCTCCTGGAACCAGCCCACCTGCACTCTTTTAAGGAAAAAGGAAGGTTGGACATTTCATGAGCGGGTGTCAAAAGTTGTGTAGAATAGTGACAGAAGCACGGAGGCAGAGAATTTTGACTCATGTTTCTGCCAGATGACCTTGACCATGTTACTTTTCCTCCATTTTGTCATCTGCAAAATGTAGGTGACAAATGCCTACATCATGGAATTAAGGTGAGGATTGCCTAGGATTCCGTACTGTTAAAGCAATTGAACAAGGAGGCCATTACACTGAGATGTGTCTGACAGCTTTATAACCTATGTGAGCAAACCAAAACCTAAGCCAAGGGCAGTGTCTTAGTATTGAGAAAATGACACTTAAGACCAGCCAATTGCCAATAGGCAGCTAGGCTTTCTCAAATTAAGGCAACCACTTAAGCTACAGCCAGTCAATTAATTTCCTTGCTTTGCATCCCTGTCTTCTCTATAAGCACCTCCCTCCTGGCTCCAGGTAGGTGGAGCCCTCCTAACCACCTTCTGTTGGGTGCTGCCCAATTTAAATCTGTATTTGCTCAAATAAACCCTTGAAATTTTTAATGTGCTTCCGTTTATCTGTTTATCACTGTGTCTATCCCAGGTCTACTCATGTTACAAAAGGCAAGGATACTACTTTCTGCAACAGTATTTTTCTTTTGTCTGGTCACTACCTTAATGAGCTCCCAGAGACTGTTCCATGAGACCTTTATTTCATTTCCTATGAAACGTTTAATCCCGTATGATGGCCATGGTGTGGGAAAGGTTTAGAGGTATCTTTTCTACTCTTTAGACATTGTCCCCAGAGCCAGCCACTCACTTAGGGCCATGGAACTAGATCCTCAGCCTGTGAACCTCATGGCCAATGCCATGGTCAGCAGAGAGCCTTTCCCAGGACCCCACCACCCTCACACTTTACTCCTCCCTCAGAGGCCCAGCCTCAGCCATAACATAGGTTATCAGAGATGCTGCCTTGTTCTTTCTGCATTGGGAAAGGAACTTTGGAACATGAGTGAGAAGATAGGAAAGGGGGAGAGAAGCCCTTTCCATGGTGTGGCCTTAGAAGTGGTACCTTTTCAGTCAAGACTAGGTAAAAAGATGTTAGAGAAAGCAGACTGAAAACATGCCTGAAAGGCTTTGGAGAAATCATTAAAGTACTTTTATGAACCCACTCCCTCTCCTATCTTTTTTTTTTTTTTTTAAAGATTTTATCCTATTTATTTAACAGAGAGAGAGGGAACACAAGCAGGGGGAGTAGCAGGCACAGGGAGAGGGAGAAGCAGGCTCTCCGCCGGACGTGGAAGTCAATCCCAGGACCCTGGGATCATGACCTGAGCCAAAAGCAGACGCTTAACCGACTGGGCCACCCAGGTGCCCCTCCCTCTCCATGGTACATTGCCCCTAATGCACCCCTCCCACCCCCTTCTCCTTGTGGTGTTACACTCAGCTGTGCCTCCGGATGGAGTTGGGAGCTTCTAGAAGATACGGACACCTTCACCACGGGTCAGCTTGCCCCCTGCCTGTAGAGCTTCTGCCAAAGGAGCTTTTCTGTCTTTCCCACCTTGTGAGTCCTGATTTCCTCAGTGACTTTAGCTTTGTCTTCCTTGGAAGGAAGGAGAGTGGGAGGGCAGGCAAGCAAAACCCGCCCTGCTGTGTATGTAAAGCAGGTAGCACAGTGACTAGCTTGAAAACAAGTGCACAGCCACCCACCCTTGGTGGGAGTGGTGGGCTTTTATCCGGTCGGCTCGGCTCGTGGGGGCCCCCCCCCCCCCCCCCCCGACAGACAGAGACTGGCTGGTGTTTGTTCTGACGTGTCTGTTTGCCTCGCAGTGCGGAGGCCAGATTAACGGCGGGGACATCGCCGTGTTTGCGTCCCGTGCGGGCCACGGCGTTTGCTGGCACCCGCCGTGCTTCATCTGCACCGTCTGCAACGAGCTGCTGGTGGATCTGATCTACTTTTACCAAGATGGGAAGATATACTGTGGCCGGCACCACGCCGAGTGCCTGAAGCCACGCTGCGCAGCCTGTGACGAGGTCAGAGCATGCTGCCCTGCCCCGGCGTGGCGGGGGGCGGGAGGGGGGAGGCCCCGCCCATCGCCCCTCCGTCCGCCCCGCCCATCGCCCCTCCGTCTGGCCATAGGCCATACTTTGTCCTGTGCTCTTCTGCACAGAAGAAAACCAGAGGCCGCTCCACCTTCTTGCATTACACCTCGCAGGAGAAGCCCCACCCCTCCCCGGTTGCTAGCAGGTCGCCATCTCCTGGGCATCCAGGTCGGAAGGCAGTTTCTGTAGCTGAGAGTCGCCGGCACTAGGGCAGTCCCGAACTCTCAAAGAAGCATTGTGCAGTTTTCGATTTCAGCCTGGGTCCCGGGGAGTAATCATTAGTAATGCTGTGGCACTTAAGTCTTAAAAGAGTTGGGATTCCTGAGCTTCAGTGGGACATGTTGGTTTGAGAAGAGAGACATTTGGTGGCACTATTTCGTTTCCCTGTAACTGACAAAAGTTCTGATGGGGATTCAGGAGGCAGGTGCATACTCCCTTAGGAGAGTCTTGTCCCACGCTCTGAGAGGTATCTGAATTGGCTACCCCAGGTCAGAAAGCAGACTAGAACACCAAGCCTGTGCCTGGTGTTTTCTCCCACCACAGGCACACCCAAATCTGATCTGTAAACTGCAAGAAGAGAAAATCTGCTTTGGCTTCAAAAGTTTGGAGCTTATATTTCTATAAAAAGTTTTTTAAAAAAGTTGGGAGGAGAAAAGAGAATATTCTAAACATGACCACTTTTATGGGACTAATTTGGGAAAGATCTTGGATAGGGGTTTCCTCCTGCACAGAGTGGATTTCTGGTTCCATCCCACCCTGCAAACAGCAGTGTGAGCTTCTGCAAGCACCACTCCCCTTTTCAGCCACAGCCCACTCCTCCCTGCCTAGGAGGGGTTCACTTTTCCTAGGAGGAAGCTGACCAGCCTTAACTAATTTGGTTTCTAATGCTGATGGTGATGTTCTGGAGAGACCCTCTAGATGGGTATTTGGGAAACTGAATTCAGTTCCACCTGAATTCAGGCAGCCGCTTTACCTTCATGCCTCAGTTTCCACTTCTGGAAATTAGTGCTCCTAATACTTTATTGTTATCTAATGGCAAATAGAATATGATGATTGAGGTTTTTGAAATTTTTGTTTATTGAGATGTAATTCACCTAGCATAAGGTTCACCCTTCTCGGGTGTCCAGTTTGGTGGGTTTTAGTATATTCATAAAGTTGTGCAACTCTCCCTGCTGTCTGATCCCGGACATTTTCATCACCCAAAAAAGAAACTTCGTATCTATTAGCAGTCCCTTCCCTTCTCCCCCTCCCCCTGCCCCTGGCAGCCACTAATCTGTTCTCTGTTTCTATGCATTTACATATTCTGGACATTTCACATAAATGGAATCAGTGTGTGATCTTTTGTGAACGTGATCTTTCACCTGGTGTAATGTTTTCAGGGTGAATCCGCGCTGTAGCTTTTCGGCACATTATTCCTTCCCAAGGCTGAATAATACTCAGTTCGTGTGTATAGGTCATATTAGGTAGAGCCATTTGTCAGTTGATGGACATTTAAGCTCTTTCCACTTTTTGAGTATTATGATCAATGCTGCTATGAACATTCATATGCAGGTTTTTGTGTGGACATATATTTTTCCGTTTTCTTGAGTATATAAGTGGGAGTGGAATTGCTGGGTCACAGGGTAATTCTGTGTCCAAGTTTTTGAGGGAATGCAGACTTTCTTTCAGAGAAGCTATGGCATTTTACATTCCCACTCTCGGTGAAGGAGGTTCTAGTTTCTCTACATCCTCAACACTACTTTTCATTAGTCATCTTAGTGGGTGCAAATGATATCACATTATGGTTTTGATACGTCTGTCCTTAATGGGTAATGATGTTGAGCATCTTTCCATGTGTTTATTGGCTGTTTGTCTATCTTCTTCTTTGGAGAACTGTATATTCAAATCCTCTGCCTGTTTTTTTGTTTGTTTGTTTGTTTAAATTGAGTGATTTTTCTTTTTATTGTGGAGTTGCTTGTATATTCTGGATACTAGTTCCTTATCAGATACATGCTTTGCACCAATTTTCTCCCATTTTGTGGTTACATTTTCACTTTCTTGATGTCCTTTAAAGCACAGAAGTGTTTAATTCCGATGAGGTCCAATTTATCTGGTTTTTTTTTCCTTTTGTTGTTTATACTTGCAATGTCCTAGCTACGAAACCATTGCCTAATCCAGGTCCTGAAAATTTACACTTGTGTTTTCTTTTAAGCATTTTATAGTATGTAGCTCCTTTGGTCTCTGATCTCTTTTGAATGAATTTTTGTATACGGCTCGGATTCATTCTTTTGCATGTGGTTATCCAGCTGTCCCAGCCACATTTGTTGAAAAGACCATTCTTTCCCCATTGAATGTCCTTGCCATCTTTGTGGATAATCAATTGGCCATAACTGTTTGGGTTTGTTTCTGGACTTTCCATTCTCTTCTATTCATCTATACGTCTGTTTTTATACCAGTACCACACCGCCCTGATTACTGTGGTTTGTAGTCAGCTTTAAAGTCTGTGCTTTGAAATTTTAAAAAAAAGTCTGTATTAGAGGTCAAAACACAAATGTTTCTGTGGGCAAGGCAGGTTTTGTACACGAAGGTGACTCATTTTAAGACAGCAGTGAGTGGTGAAAAATATGACCGAACTGGAGAACTCACCACTCATCTAGCAGTCCTCCTTCTCAAATACTATGTTTTCAACAAAGAAACCAGGAGTCTAGGTGTTAAAATGACATAGAAAGATGTTGCATCAGCCAAATAAGACACGTATGTGTTGTTCAAAGTGCCCACGAACCATCAGTGTCTGGTCTTGCTTTATATTCTTCAGGGTAGACCTTTATTTCTCTTATTAAAATGTGGTTCAGTTAATATCTGGGCAGGCCAAAAACTGTGGTTAATTGTGCTCTAGGCAAATCCCAGTATGCTAACTGATATCAATATAGAATATTCAAATACAGATAGATTTTTTTATTGGGTAATTTGTGGGAAAGACCTGTTTTCCCATCCTTCTAATTTGGGGTCACCATAGCTCTTCTCCGGTAAAGTGCATTCTCCTGGCTGGGTCTTAACCACTGATCCTTTGGCTTCCCCATCTCTAGATCATCTTTGCAGACGAATGCACAGAAGCTGAGGGACGGCACTGGCACATGAAACACTTTTGCTGCTTCGAGTGCGAGACGGTGCTTGGCGGCCAGCGCTACATCATGAAGGAGGGAAGGCCCTACTGTTGCCGCTGCTTTGAGTCCTTGTATGCAGAATATTGCGACACCTGTGCCCAACACATAGGTGAGGCAACACTTGGTACTCAGCTCAGTCCTACTATGACTGGGTCTCCTTGGCGTCTGGTGTAGTTAGAAGCCCTTTAGCTCTCAGCTCATACTGGCTTAAGCGAAAAAAGGGACTTTCTTGGCTCACTTTACTGGAAAGGTCAAGGGTGTGCTTGCTTCAGGTAGGGGATGGCTCAAGGGTTCAAAGTCTGGAGGGTTTTCTATCCTTCGTGTCTCAGCACTGCTTGCCTTCTGTTGGCATCGGTAAAAAGCAAGCTGCCTTCACATGCTGGCTAAGAGGACTCCCCAGTTATACATAATCTTAGCACTTGCATTCTCAAAAGGAGTGAGGCCACGTCTGTTCTAGTATCCAAATCAGTTCCTCCAAATAGGAACCTTATCATCCCTGGTTTGGTCACGTGTGCCACCCTGGAAACAAGACAAGAGGGTATTTCGGTTGGCCTGCCTGAGTCATAGGCCCACCCCTGAGATGGGGTTATGGGATGTACAGCCCCACTACCAAGGGGAGGGAGAGAGGTCCCAGAAGGAAACTCTGAGGGAAAATGTAAACAGATGTCTTCCACAGCCTCCTTGGAAAACTTGAGGATCCACAGAGGGTGGAACCGGGATAGTCCTCTTGGTAGGAAGGGGTAGTCAAGAAAACCAAATGGTTTCTGGCAAGCATGTCTTTAAAAAAAAAAAAAAAAAACTCAGCAAAAGCTGACCCAGCCAAATACAAAGCAAGAGAACCTGAAGTAGCTTATAAGCTATAAACTCCCCAAAGATGCAGCAGATCTGAGATGGTGGAAATCATTTTCCCTTCGCAAATAACCGATTTGTTCAACCCTCAAGACTCTTCCAGATCATGCTGCATCTGTGGCTTCTTCATTCAGCTCGCCTGTTCTGGCACCTTCAGAATGAGCCACCCTTTAAAAAGGAAAAGAAAGAGCTAGCAGGGGATGAATGTCTGGGGGACCAGCAGCCTGCTCTTCCTGTGGCTTGTGCACGTCCAAGAAATCTGCTAAGAAGCTGCCAGCTTCTTACCTCTAGTGGGGAGATGTGGAGATGATCAGCCCAAAATGGGAGCCCATTTTGCCCCATGTCAAGGATTTTGTCAGGAACCAAAAGAAGTGACTTTGTCTCCCTGCTTCGTCAGAAATGATCTTTTATTCAAATAAAAACCTAGCTAGTACTTTGGAGAGCTTTGGGAGCTGATAAAAAAATCACAGCTTTGCAGACAAGGCACTTACTGTGTGCTCAGTGGTCCTTTGTTGTTGGGCAGTCTGTCCCCGCAGACTCAGATCTGCTTCCATGACGCCTTTCGGAGCTGGAGTCCCTGCCGGGCCTGGGGTTCAGCATTGCTATGCAGCAGTATTATCCAGCGGTATTCCCTGCTGGAGGGCCTGGGTGATGTGCCCGTCCACCTTCCCCTAACCCCTGACTGGCCTCCCCCTCTCATGGCCTGATGCCTCAACCAGGGACCCACCAGTTTTCATTTCTCACAAGATCAAAACAGGGAAACAGACTTGCTTCGATGCTAAGAATTATGAAATGGGGACCTCGATTTGGACAGGTGGCTGGCCACATGAGGAGGGACAGGGTGGGCTGTGTCGGGGGGAAGATGGTGCAGCTTTCAGAGCCAGCTCTGCTGTTCGTGGATTCTGGGTCTGCCAGTAGGCGGCGAGGGTACGGACAGCTCACCTGCCGCCAGGACACCTACTTCTCGCAAGTGTTGCTGTTTCTTCTGTCCTTTTCCATTGGGGCTTAAAAGCCTCTCCAGAAACTGCCACTTAGAATGTTTGCTCAGCAACTTGGAAGAGAGAAAATCTGTCTGTCACCACAGCAGGTCCACCTCAGAAGCCCCCTCTGTTTTCTTCTCTTTCTCTCTCCTTCTAGCTATTTCAGGACTTTGACAGGCACTGCCTTCTCCTCCCTGTTAAATCCAGAAAAAGGCATCAGCGTTTTACCAGAGAGGGGGACCTCTGTGGCCTGCAGTATTATCACTGCTGCAGTTAAAATGTGGTCCCTGATTTTTTTTTTTTCCCTTCCCCTACTTTTCTGTGAAACCTCATTTTCCTGCAATGGTGAAAGGGTATGCTCTGTCTGTCCTGCATACCACCATCTCCTGGTGCTTTGCTCTGACCCTATTATACAAATATTCCGTATTTATACAGCCACTCAGAGCGGACCCTGCATCAGGCAGCCGTCGCTAGGGCAACGGTGCTTTTGCCCGCGCACAGCAGAGTAGACAGTCCTGTAAACAGACTGTGGCTAGAGCAGCACTCGACACACACACGCCCTCCAAGAAGGGCTTACAGGGCTCAGAGGGGGGAATTAAAAAGGAACGCTTAGATGTGGAACAGCAGAGCCCTTTTCCAGATGTTTCGAGTTCAGGACCAGTTCAGAGGACCATCTGACATCAGGGATGTTGATCAGGGACCACACTGCACTGCCTGCTGGGCCGTTTTGTCACCCGCCTCCCCTCTGCTCACCCGACCCCCAGCCCAGCCTTCTGCAAGGCCCCGTCCCCAGAACTGGGCCCCTGCTGCCACATCAGAGCATGCGTCCTTGCAGAAGCTTGGAGAGGCAGCTGGGGAAGGACAAATACGGGAACCGGGCTTCCTGCGTGCCTCTGACAGGGAGCGGGTGAGCCTGCGGCTGCCTGGGATGTGGGGCAGCCGGGGGTGAGCACAGCCCTCTTCAGGGGAGGGCAGGGAAGACGGAGCCAGCCCCAGAGCTCGCTCTTGGACTGCATCCAGGCAGTGGCCCTCAGAGCAGAGAGGGAGATGGGCAATCAAGGCGTAACGAAACTAGGAGAAGAAGAGCAGTGAGAGTAGTTAGCAGATACAAGTCTAGGCACTCTGCACATTAACTCACAACAACCCTGTGAAGTCAGAACTGTTATTATCCCTGTTTTACTGCAGAGGGGGCTGAGGCACAGAGAGATGAAGCACTTGCTTAGGGTCACACAGCCGCAGAGCTGGGATTGGAACCTCAGCAGATGGCCTTCAGCAGCTCCATCACAACTGATGGAGAATAGAAGGGTGAATAGAAGTTAGTTATGTAGACTCCCTCTTACCCTTTACAGGAAGGAAAGAGAGAAAAATAAAAATGCTGGAATGGGATGCAGCTGGGATGCAAAGCTCCCTTCATCTGACTCCTCCTCACTGACTCCTGAAGCCCCACTGTGCAGGACTCCAGAGTTCGGCCTCCCGCACTGCTGCCCTGCTTCCTGCTGGGAGCCTGGGGACCAAGTGTGGATGGAGCTGCAGCTCTGGGTCCCGTCCCTAGCCCTGCCCCGCCAGCTCCCACTCCTCCCAGGAATGCTCTGTTGACAGGGAGTGCATTTCCACAGTGAGCACAGGAGGCCGGGACAGCTGCTTTGCCTTTTGCCCTTTGTTCTTGCCTTTCCCTTTAGAGATCGTTCTCCAGTTTCTTATTTACCACCTCTCCAGACAGGGCTCTCAGAGTGATTCCTGGAAGATCCAGGCTCAGGACTGCTCCTACTAAAGGTGGAGGTTCACACTAGTACTACATTTCTGCAAAGATTTTTATTATCAGAAATCAGGAGTCTTGCAAAGGTCCCCTTCCATTCTGCAGTACTTGCATGAGACTGCATAGCCCACAGGCTCTCCCCAGTGCATTCAGACTTCCATCCTGCCAGCTTAGCAGCTGCTGTCAAGAGAACCTCCCTACGTCACTATCTTAGTGACAGTCCCAGGTGACTCTCCCATTGGACTAGTGCAGGTCTTGCACCCACGTCTGAAGCAGCCACTAGGGTGGGAGATACAGTTTTTTTACTAGCCAGTAGTAGGTCCAGGCATGGCTTTAGCCCTGCCCAAAGCTCATGGCCCAAGGGTGGCAAGAAGGTGGTGTCCTTGGGGGCGCCTGGGTGGCCTAGTCGGTTAAGCGGCTGCCTTCGGCTCAGGTCATGATCCCAGGGTTCTGGGATCGAGCCCCGCATGGGGCTCCCCGCTCAGCGAGAGCCTGCTTCTCCCTCTCCCTCGGCCTGCCACTCTGCCTACTTGTGTGCTCTCTCTCTCTCTGTCAAATAAATAAAATATTTTTAAAAAACCAAAAAGGTGGTGTCCCACAGGGAGATTAAGTCCTAGAACCAGCAGGGGGCAGAAGAGATGCTGAGAAGCAAGAGCACTTGGGCCCCTGGGAGGTTCCTGCAGGGCAGGTATGTAACAAGATTATGCAAACCAGGGACAGCCCTTGCTTGGGGAGGAAATGTGTTTCTTCCTTTCCTGATGACATTAAGCAAAGGGTGTGCGTGCTTGTGGAGGATGTCTTTGATGAACCACACCCGAGTTTTTCCTTACCAAGTGTTGAAATCCACTTTTTTCTTTTCCACTAAACTGTTAAAGTGATTTCTTCATCTGAATGGCCTGTGCTGGTAAGGGATTCAGGTCATCCATTCAACATATAAAGAGCCCCTCTGATGCATCAGGCCATGTTCCTGGACATGCCACAGAAAATTAATGACTCTGTTGTCCTAGAGCTTTACTTCTGGCAGGGGAGAGAATTAATAAGCAGATGCACATGTGTGGTGGTGCATTGTCAAACAGTGTTCGTGCTGTGAAGAAAACCATAGCAGGTCAGGGTGAAGAATAGTGGAGAGCATGCTACCAGGTGTGCAGGAAGACTTCTCCAGGGAGTTGGCATTTGAGCAGACGCCCAAGGAGAGTGAAAGAGAAAGTGTCAGTGTCTCGGTTAGGAGCAAGACTTCCGGGTACAGATCTCACCTGTGATTCCTGGTTGTATTGAGTGAGGCAAGTTATTTAACCCTCCTGTACCTCTGTTTTCCCATCTGAGAAATGGAAATAATATTAGAAACCTACGTCATACAGTGGAGGGGTTAAGTGACTTCACCTATATGCAAAGCATTTAAAGCAGTTTTATATCATGTGTTAGTAGCATTATTATAATTTTGTCTGGGAGAATCTATTCCAGGCAGAAGGATTCATGGACAGGCCACGTTGATCTAGTTTTTTCTCTGCTCAGAGCAAATGAGTTAAGAAGCAGCTGACTGGTAGAACAAGGGGGCTCTCCTAATGGGACATGAATACCATTTATGTGAGGTTCTGATTAATGACTTATTGTTATTTTATTCTGTTGTATCTGGAACCCTGAGCCAAACCAGGATGCTGTGTGTTTCACATCATAACACAGGACTCTGAGCAGCTTGTCAGCCTCTTCCATGTCTTTTCCATCCCCAGGGATCGACCAAGGTCAGATGACCTACGACGGCCAACACTGGCATGCCACCGAGACCTGTTTCTGCTGTGCTCACTGCAAGAAATCCCTTCTGGGGCGGCCATTCCTCCCAAAGCAGGGCCAGATATTCTGCTCCCGGGCCTGCAGTGCCGGGGAGGACCCCAATGGCTCTGACTCATCCGATTCGGCTTTCCAGAACGCCAGGGCCAAGGAGTCCCGGCGCAGTGCCAAAATCGGCAAGAACAAGGGCAAGACGGAGGAGCCCATGCTAAACCAGCACAGCCAGCTGCAGGTGAGTTCCAACCGGTTGTCGGCCGATGTGGACCCCCTGTCACTGCAGATGGACCTGCTCAGCCTGTCCAGCCAGACGCCCAGCCTCAACCGGGACCCCATTTGGCGGAGCCGGGACGAGCCCTACCATTATGGGAACAAGATGGAGCAGAACCAGTCCCAGAGTCCCCTGCAGCTTCTCAGCCAGTGCAACATCAGAACTTCCTACAGTCCGGGAGGGCAGGGGGCCGGGGCCCAGCCTGACATGTGGGCCAAGCACTTCAGCAACCCCAAAAGGAGCTCATCCCTGGCCATGAAGGGGCACGGTGGCAGCTTCATGAAGGAATGCCGCGAGGACTATTACCCGGGAAGGCTGAGGTCCCAGGAGAGCTACAGCGATATGTCCAGTCAGAGCTTTAGTGAAACCCGAGGCAACATCCCAGTCGCCAAATACGAGGAGGAGGAGGAGGAGGAAGGGGGCATATCCACGCAGCAGTGTCGGACCCGCCATCCAATCAGTTCCCTGAAATATACTGAGGACATGACGCCCACAGAGCAGACCCCTCCAGGCTCCATGGAATCACTGGCCCTGTCTAATGCAACAGGTAGGTTCTGGTCACCTAGAAAATAGAAAGCAAGAGGCAATAATCTCTGAGTGACCTGAAGCTTGTCTTCAGGACTTTCATGTTGTTCCTGCCATGTGCCTTCCTCCAGAAGGTCGTTCGGGAGGGGAACCCCAGTTTCAGATGGTTTCTGTCTTTGCTCGTGTTCCCTATAAGCAGGGCCTGGGACAGGTTGAGGGCGGGCTTCCAGGGAAGGGGATGAGAGAGACAGGCCAGGGTTGGGGGGGGGGGGAGCCAAGCAGAGAGTGCTATCTGGGCTGGCGTCTGACTTCAGCCTGGCCCCACAGGGGGCTCTGGAGGATGGGTTGCATCGTACAGTTGGCTCCCTCTTGGGACAAAGGGGCTGACGTCCCGCACACCATGTCTGCCAGTCACCGGCTTTGGGCTGCTAGAGACCAGCTCCGGGATGAGGTTGTGGATGGGGGCAGGGGGCATGGCAGGTACTGCTGCCCAAGGAGAACATTCAGGAGAAGAGGCAGCTGTGAGCTGGAGACAGTACTGACAACACCGGGTGGTGCTTGAGACACCACAGCACCCATGACAGCTTCCAAGGCTGTTCCGAACCCCAGTGTCTCGTTAGGGAGATCATTTTAATGTACAGATAGAGACCAAAGAAATGTGGATGGACGGGAGAAGACAGGCAGGCTGAAAAGGAGCGAAGGGGGAAGAGAGAGACCATCCAAGGCCTGCTTTCTCCAGACAAATGGTCCAGCCCATTTGCCTGTGAGGACTGATGTGGAAGTTCTCTAAGATGGCGCTACACAACGTGCAGTCTGCACATGGAAGCTAGCCGCAGCCTGCAGTGAGAGAAGTACTAAAAATGACAGTGTTTAGGAACTCTTGGAACAGTTTGACCTTGCCATGACGTCCGAGTGCATGCTCGGTGGGCTCGTCTTCCTGGTCCAGGTACGGACCAGTCAGGGTGTCGTGCAACCCACGAATGTGTTGTGTGTGGCATGTGCTGTGTGTCAGTCATACTCAGGAGGGTCACATATCCTTCCACGGTGGATTGAGAATAAAAAACGGGTCCTTCACCATGGACAGCTGAGAAGTACTGTCCTGAGATGCACTTCCCTTATGGGCGGAGCACCTGAGGAGGGAGACACACGTCTACCCCTTACATCAGGGACCCCAGAGTCCAGTGGGTCTTGGTGGAGCTTGTCATAAACTTGTGCATGTCAGCCCCTGCTCAGCCCCAGCTGGTTGTTGCCGTGTGCAAAGATATTTATTCATCTAGCAGCTATGTAGCTCTTACCCCGTGCCAAATTTGGTCCTACGCACTTTATAAATATTAACTCACTTAATTAAACCCTCCCAGTCCTAGAAAATGGATAGCCTATTAAGAGTCTCATTTTAGAGTTGAAGAAACAAAGCACAGAGAAGTTGAAGGCTTTGCCCCAAGTCACCCAGCTTTTAAAAGATGGGGTGGGGATTTGAATATGTGCCTACGACCCCGGAGCAGTGCTCTTAATCATAACAGGTTGCCAAGTTCTCCAGACAAGTTAAACATGTGGATTTTTAAAATGTGAAGTCTATGTAAACTCTGCTAGACAAGCAAAACATGTCTCTAAGTCATAGGGTGTCCTACAGGGGGGTTTTAACCCTTATCCCTCCCAAACAAGTTCACGTCTGTGTTCTCGTGTGTCCTTGGGGACAAATAGCAGGTATCTTTACCCTCATGTTTCCGATGAAACAAAAATGAGGCCTCAGTGACTAAGCACCTTACCTCATGTCATAGAAGCGAGCAATTGGTGCTGAGTGATGACTGCCTGGCTTTCAGCCCAGTTTGTGCTATTCTTGAAAACTTTATATGCTATAATTATTTAAGAGGCCAGGAGATAAATAGGTAATTCAGCCTCTGAAGCAGCGTTTTTCGAAGCTAGACTCCCTGCATTCGACATTGGCTGCTTGGTTCAAACATGGAATCCAGGACGTCCCCCGAGACCTCCTGCATCAGACCCTATGGAGGGGGGACCCAGGAAGCTACATTTTCACCAGCTCCCTGCTGATGGTGATGCAGCCACTGTCTGAGAACAGCTGTTCCTGGGCTTGTCTGTTTTGACTTTATTGTCCTCATGCGGTGACTTAGGAGAAAATCAGGAGATCTGGGTGTTGGGAAATACTAGAAAGGCCACGTGATTATGTTTGAAGAATATACCATCTCGGATCCCAAAGAAGAGGCATGGAATTTATCCCTATGATTTTCTCTGGGCCCTTGGGCAAAACACCAAATGCCCCCCTCTGTCTCAGATTTGGGGGAAGCATCCCAGAACCGTGTCTGATACTGCTAAAAAAAAATGCCTGAGATCAGCACTGCCCAGTGAAGCCAGTAGCCACATGTAACTGTTGAAATTTCGATTCATGAAAATTAAGTGAAATTAAAATTTCAGGCCATCAACTTGCACCAGCCCCATTTCAAGTGCTCAAGAGCACTAAGCAGAATTTGAAATTACATTTAATTTCACTAGCCACACGTAGCTAGCGGCCGCCCTGTTGGGCAGCCCAGATGGCGAGAGGGAGCTGGTAGGATGACCCCAATTTTAACCCCATCATTAGTCTCTGTGGAAATTCTCCCATGAGCCCCAGTTTTTCAGATTGTCAATTAATGGTTTGGAGTCCCAGTTCAAATCTAGCCTTTGTCGTGTAGGAGCTGGGTGGCCTTGAACAAATGCTTACATTCTGTAAGGCTCAGTTACCTCATCTATGGAATTTAGTGAATAATAGTACTTCCTTCGTAGTGTTTTGGGGAGGAGTATATGATAATGCATGAAAACTCATTAATATAGTCTTCAACGCAGAGGACCTTCTATAATGGTTACCTGATACTTGTTATGATTGCATTTTTATCATGCTGGCATCTTATCCCAAGCATACTGGTGCGCAGCTTTGGCCTCCAGGAATGTTTTGGCTACTGACATCTCCCAGCATCCACCAGCTGTGCAGGTTTGCATTTTTAGGTTTGCAGATGTTCCCGTGGGACCCTCTTTTTTTTTTTTAACCAGCATGCGAAGGGCATGAGAAACAGGGAGCTGAAGAAATGCATTCTGTGCCCCTGTGTTTCCATAGATCTGTCAGGCACAGCTGTGTGGAAGAAAGATTGCAGCTCATATTCGAAGCACTGCTTCATCCTTGGTCACTGGAGCAAACCTTAAATAGCTTTCCAGATCCTACGCTGCACACACACACACACACACACACACACACACACACACACGCACACATGCACGCACGCACCCCAAAGACGTCATATTGACTACACTTGGAAAGTCGGTCGTTTTGCTGCCAACCCCCACTGTTGCATTTAAATTTTGCTAGAAAATTCCCTCGTCTTTTGAGAAGGCAGTGCTCAGAACTGTGTATCTTTAAATCCTGGAATCCTAGTCTGTGAGTAACAAGTATGTGTCATAGAAGGCTTAGTCAAAACACCTTGATCCTTAGGTGAAAGCTAGTCTTCACGATAATGGATTTTTTTTTTCCTTCCGTAGTCAATAACTCACATTATTGAACAAGTTTGTAGTGTTTAAACTGGCATAAAGCATGATCTTTCTGTAGGCAGCATTTTTCCTTTGAACAGATCTGGAGAAACAGCCCCAGTTGACTTGCTAGCCTTTGATCTGGGCTTTGGCATCTCCTGGTTTGTTTAGAAATGGGAGCATACTGCCCCTTCTCCCTGGAAAACACCGGCCATCCGTTATGCTCACGCAGAGTGAGTCAGGTGAGCACAGTCACTCACCATTGACACGAGCACTGTTGGAGCCTTGCAGAAGCTCTCGAACTCTCCATTGTCTAAACGTGCTTGCAAAGCAGCTTGCAGCCTGGGTGATCACAGGATTGCAGATAGTAATAACAACAGCGGCAACAGGCTGGGTGTTGGGGTGTTGGTCACGTACTAGGTACAGTAATAAGGGCTTTGTGTGAACTAGCTCCCCATATCTCTATGAGGTAGACACCGTTGTTACTCCCATTTTATGGATGACTTCAGTGAGACACAGAGAGGCTATGTAGCTCAAGACCACACAGCTTGGAAATGGAGGAGCAGGACTCAGATGCACGCATTCTAGCTCCAGGCCTGTGCCCTTAACCCCCGTACCATGGCACACGGGGATGGTGATGCTAGTAGTAACGGGCGACAACTGTAAGACCACAGACTGTGGTCTGACATGATGGTGATGTCACATGTAACATCTCTCCAAATCCTCGTAACAGCCCCGTAAGGTAAGTCTGATTCTTTTCCCCGTTTTACAGATTAGTAGACTCAAGTCCAAGGGGGTTATGACCTCCCCATGGTCACCACTGACAACCAGGACCTGAACCTGGGTGTGATAATCTGCAAGGCCCTTACTCTCAACCACCTTGGTATAATCCCCACAGGAAGGGTCATGGTCACAGTCGGGATTTGCACAGTGACTCTATCTGAAGGGACCAGGATTTCTTTTCCTGTCGCAGCCAGTCTGCCGATGTCCGTCTGGCCCTGGCAGGGCTGGAGCAAAGCTGGCAGTCCGAGGTGACCTTCCTGGGTCAGGGGGGCACTTAAAGACAAAGGAGACAGGTGCACACAGTCCAGGGGTGGGCACCTGGCAGGAGGCACCCACAGAGGGCAGAGGAAGGCTGTAGCACGAGTCAGGGCCACGGTTCAAGTCACACTGGGGCCAGGTGAAGAGTCGAGTTCAAATCGGGACCAGTTGCCTCACACAGAGGCTACACCAAAGGACAGCTGGAGATGGTCAGCTGGTCCCCAGCAAGGCGCCCTGAGCACAGCAATGAGGCTCTTCCTTGAGGATCAGCCACATGCCACAAGGAGTGGTTGGGTCAGAGAGAGCCGGGACCTGTAGGAAGGAAATGCAGGTATGGATGGGAGTAAAGACAGGATGGTTTCTGTGCATTCATTCATTCTTCATTCAGCCAGCCAGTGTGACTTGAGGGCCTACCCCGTGAGTTACCGCATTGTCAATGAGAGCATGGGCTGTAGACCAGTCGGCCGT